AATGAAAGACATTTTTAGTATTGTGGTTAATTAGGATTGAGATTAAGGAATCGAATTATATATAAGTTTTTTGTGTCTTGATCCTTAAAAATAGCATAGCTATTTAATATTGAAATTCTATCCAACCATATAAATATACCTCTTGGGAATTTTTTTCTCTAAATGATCGACTTAAATATTAACTAATTCTATATATTGTCATTTATTTTGAATTTGTGTTTTCTGGCTGCGGTCTTAAGAACTTTTCGTGCATAATCAGGAAGTGTTCAGTGTTTCCTAGTAAAATACACAAAGAAATATACAAAAATATGTATTTAAAAAGTAATTTTTTTTTCTGAAATTCCCTAGTGAGCAATATTCTTACAAAAAAATAGGTTGCCTATACTTTTGAAATTTCTTATTTTTATAAATATATATATATATATATCTATTCAATATTTTTATAAAAAAATAATATAAAAAGGTTGCCTATACTTTTAACATTTCTTATTTTTTTGAGAAATAATCTTCACAGCAAATTCTATGATAAAAATATGACGATTATATTAAATTATTATTGTATTGGTTTTTCAACTAATTATTGTTTTAAATACTTTTTTTTTATGAAATTTGAGATCACACATTTAAGTAATAGAATAAGAGATAAGATATTGTTATTACTAATTATTGTTATTACCAATGGGACCAAAAGTTTGTTTCACCGTTAGATCGATTATGTTGATCCAACGATTATATTTTTTTTTTATCTTTGTATTGTTATGATTCTCCATATTTAATATTTTCACATTAAATATGGGGAACATAATCATATAAAGGTGAAATAAATATAAAGTATTAAATATAGAGAGAAGAAAGAATGTTTTTAAAAAGTTAAATCAGAACCGTTGGATCAATATAATCGATCTTACAGAGAAACAAATTGGTAGTGACCTTAGTAGTAACACTAATTGGTAGTAATAATAACTTAAAATCTTTATTTTTTGGCAAGTCCGAATGTACAATTTAAGATTTATGTATTGGACGGTTATTAGTGGCTAGAAATGGTAAATGAACTTGGGGCCTTTTGGGGGGGGGGGTCTTTGGCTTGACTCGTGAAGGCATGAGCTTATATGTCTAAAATTGGTTGTTGGAACCAGACTTGAATTTGTATAAAAGCTCGTTTAATAAAAAAGTTTCAGGCTCCAATTCAAAAGTTCGGCTTTAGAGACTCTCATGCTAGCCTAGTATATTAATTTTTATTTTTATTTTATATTTATACTACTTGTAATAGCCTTCTCTTTCTATTCAATCTGTTTCACCTCATTTTATTGGTTAAACAAACTTTTTGAATGATTTTGCTTTATATTATTCTGTTTGGATATACATTGAATTTTTGAATATTTATAGAATTACTAGTGTTGTTGATTGTACATTCTGTTTGAATAACTTTTTGTTGTCTTATTTTTTTTAACAGGCTAACAGGTTAAACCAGACTTTTATTTTTTGTAAACAAGTCAGGCCACATGCCGATAATTATATTATAACAGGTAACAAACTTGCTCAGGCTGACATATTTAAACACAAGCTTAGCTTTTAAGATCAAAGCTCGGTTCGGCTCGACTCAGCCCGTTAACACTCTTATTAGTGGCAAACAATTTACAGATATAATGTTTGTAAAAAATGTTTGTGATAAATGAAGTGTTATGAAAATTATAAAGAAAAATGTTTATATAAGTCAGATTGCTAAACAAATTAAAGATGAGATTAATAAAATAAAAGGAGGAAAAAGAAGAAGAAGGAGAGCGAACTCACAAACACAAAGCAGGGAAATGATCATTGGCGAGAGCGTACTCTTCACCTTTCATTTTTTGGGGTACTGTTCACCGCAATTCGATTTTGCAAAAGGTGAGAGCGTCTTCACACTTCATGCCTAAATAGCTAGCTATCTTGCTAGGCTCTTATGGGAGCTTCAATGTTACATTTTGTAGTTCAGTTATCATGGCAATAACTTATTTAATTTATTCGAGTTTTAATTTATCATCCTTATTTTATTTTTATTTTTTTACTTTTCATCTTCTCTATCCTTTAATTTTTAAAATTTATTTATTTTTCTAAATTTTTTAAATGAAAATACCATTTATGAATAAAAACTCAAACAATTAATTGTTTAGCAATTAATTGTTAAACAACAATCAAGTATGACTCATGCATCATATTTGGCCAATTTTATTATTTACGTTATAACCTTTAATATTATACAAAAAGGAAAAATAGTTATTAAATATTTTAAAACCTTTTTTAGATAGAAATTAAAATTTTATTAATTTAAAAAATTACGAAATAACCTACATATTGGTTACATAAATAAACTAAAAGTCTTGCTTAATTTATATTGAAAAAATTAATTATTAAATTTTTTTAGTACATATTTGGATAATTTTAGAAATACATATTGTTAAATTCTTGAAGTAAAAGCAAGAAAATGTACCTGAAGAAAATACCTTTTAGATACTATCCCCTTTTAGATATACTATCAAAAATACCAGTTTCAAACAAAGAGAAATAATAATATAATTACCAAATCAATGTTATATTTAGAAAATTTGTTTACCATATTACCTTAATAAGTATGTTTAATTAGATTCTTGAAAATAATAAGGGAAACAAATATTTAATATTACTTTATACAATTTGGTCTATGTTCACATAAATAACATCATTTTTTGGGTTTGAAAATTAAAAAATTAGAATGATAAAAATTATTATAACTTGAAATAAACTAAAATTATAAATACACCATAATTTTCATCCTAAAATCACGTTATTTCGATAAATATTAGACAAAATTGTCTAAAATAACTTTAAAAAAAATGAACTCATATAATAAGGCACTTAGTCAAACACTAATTTATTAAAGACACAATAATTCTAAATTAACTCAATATTCTTATTAATTATTGAATTTAAAAACATTAAATACTCTTTATGTTTTTAATATGTAAAGTATATTTATTTATGGAAAAAGTATTTCTCCAGTCCCATCAGAGATAAAGTTATCTCTAGTGAGCTCAAAACGACGTCGTTTAGGGGTTATAAGATTAAAAAATTATAATGATAAAGACTAATATAACCCTGCAATATATTATAATTACAAAAATACCTTGATTTTCGCTAAAAAATGGTGACGTTTTGGGTTCACCAGAGATAACTTATCTCCATTGACCGGAGAAATACTTTACCCTTTATTTATTTGTTAAATACATTTCCTTTGAAGTATTAAGAGGATTATCACAGAGATATTTTAAAAAGATATAATAAAATTCATATATATATACTATGTAGCACCGATACCGACACGGAATACGTGACACGATACGACACGACACTCCGACACGTTAATTCTAAAAAATGTTAGATTTTGACACGTTAGGACACGTTTTGATATTAAATAATATTTTTAATTTATGTAGTGTATATTATATTTAATATTCAATAATTTAACAAAAAATGAATCTAAACTTATAATATTCATAAATTTTGCAAAGAAACATGACATATCCCAAATATTTATATTAAACTCAATAAAATGATAATCGTAATTCAATGAATCTAATAGTTCGAACTAAAAACTCAACGCAAATCAACCTTTGAACCTTGTTTTGAATTTCTATAACGCGTGTTGAAGTGTCGGGGAGTGTCCGAGAGTGTCGGGAAGTGTCAGACACGACACGTCAGGGTTTTTGATGTGTCAGTGCTTCATAGTATATATATATAGGGTAATGTTTTCCTCCTTTCACATGACACAAGCAATTTTTCTACATATACATAAAAGTGGGCCCATCAATTCTTTTACTTTTCTTTTATTTTAAAATTAGTGGCCCCCACAATTGATTGTCTCTATGACATGACCTAAGAATTTTCTTATAACATAATACTTATTTTTCCCATATATATATATATATATATATATATATATATATATATATATATATATATATGGAAAAACATTTCTCCGGCAACTTGAGATAAGTTTATCTCCGGCCACCCCAAAACGACGTCGTTTTTATTTATTTATTTCCTTATATTAATTGATTCACCTTTGAACGATTATGATTCTCTTTTTCTCTTCTTCCTTTATCCCCATTGATTCATCTTTGTATGGTTGTGATTTAGTAGCCGGAGATAAAGTTATCTCTGGCAACTTGAGAAATGATAAGCCCATATATATATATATATATATATATATATATAGGGCTTAACATTTCTGCAGCAGCCGTAGATAGTGTTATCTACAGCTGACACAGAAAAGTGGGCCCCACGGCTTTTTAAAAAAAAAAAAAACTCAAGATCCGTTGCCATATCCTAGGATCCGGACGCGGATTCTTGCTTGTTGTAGGTACAGCAGCTGCAGAAATCATATTATATATATATATATATATATATATATATATATATATATATATATATATATATATATATATATATATATATATATGATAGTGTAGCTCGTTGCACAAAATATTTAAAAAGGTGGTTGATAACACAATTTTGTATTCTTAAATTATACAGTTGAAAAAAAAAATTGAGAAAATTTTTGTGTGCATCAAATATATCCAGTTGGGTACATCTTTTTTTCAAAAGTAGAAAAATTTTCAATGTACCAATTTTTTTTTTCAAAAATAGTAATTTTTTTAATCAAAATATGAAAAACAAATGTATCCAGTTAAGTACTCCCATAACACCAAAGTTGTACTCGTTTGTGTAACATTTAGCTCGTAGCCAACAAGAAAAAAAGAAAAATTCTAAAAAGTAATAATAATAAGGAATAAACCAAATTCGATTTCAAAATGACCTTTAATTCCACAGTCTAATCACCCCCTGAATTGTCAAATGCGTCAACCATATTCCTCTTAGTCTTTCACTGTTCCCATTCATTCATATCTGGTTTCTCTTCACCTCCCAATATAAATACTAACATGTTTTGAACCGTTTTCCATTCATTCATTTCTATTAGACTCACCCTTTCACACAACACACGGATCTTCAAGACTCTGAATCACACAAACTCATAGCATCAAATATTTTCATATTTGTGTGTAGTGAAGGCTAAAGCAAGCAAGCAACAACAACAAACAACAACAGCATAAGGCTTATATAGCTGTTTTGCTTTATATTAATCAATTCAACAACCATGGCAGATGATCAATTTCAAGCAAGTGCAAACTGGTGGGAATCAGCAAGAAACTTGAGGTATGAAAGTGGGGAATCACAATCTTCCTCTTCTGCTCTCACCAACATAGGAAACTTTTCTTGGCAACATGATATGGTGGACATGAAACCAAGGTCTTCCATGGATTCCATGTCTCCCTCAGGTACTTCCTCTGTGGTTTTCCATGATACACATAAGCTTCAACCTCCTGATTCTGCCACCTCCACCAATGACTCCAACTTGCATATGATGGGTTTGGGACTTTCATCCCAAGCCATTGATTGGAATCAAGCATCTTTGATGTAAGTGTTGTTTGCTTCAAGACAAAGACATAAACAATATTACCCAAAAGTAGAAAAAGAAAAAAGGAAAAAAAAAAGTTGTATCTTTCATTTTCTGTCTTTCTTTCTTTCATTCTTTCTTAGCAGAATAGAATAATAATCAATCCCCAATGAGCAAAAGGTTGTAACTTTGTGTTTTAATTTGTTTGATGTTGATGATATATAGAAGAGGTGAGAAGGCTTCAGAGAGCAGTTTCAGGTCGATGCTGCAAGAGAATTTGAACTCATCAAGCACAAATTTTCAACAAGAAACTGGGATTGGTTTGTCTCAAGTTCATTGGAGACCAGAAAAGTTGTTCACTGCAGAATCTTCCACCAATGAATTCAAGCAAGTGAATAGGGGTTTCTCTTTGGATCAAACACAGTTTAGTCCTCAATATAGTTCTGGGGACAGTACAATCACAAGCCAAGCTTTACCTTCTACTTTTCATATGGATTCCTCAGCTTTATATGGTAACCCTTCAATACTACAAGGACTATTAGGACCTGAAAGCAATCAACAACCCCAGCAAGGTTCGTTTGAGAATCGCCCCATGAATTTTCCATACTCAACAAGCTATGGCTTGAACTCCAATGAGTTAATGCCTTCTTGGGCTAAAGTTCCTCAGTTCTTGAGAGCTTCACCTCCAAAACAACCACCCAATAACCAATTGCATTTCACCAACAACGCTCCCTTTTGGAATGCTTCTGAGGCTACTATTAAGGATGCTCGATCCACCTTCTTCCCGTCATTGCAGCCCCCATTTTCCACACCAAATTTTGCTGTACAACCAAAGGTACTGCGTAACATTTTAGCATGCATAAGATATAGATGTAAATGCCTTGATGTATACATAACACCTTGTTGATGATATACATTAATATATTATATTAGGATTGTAATGAAGCACTAGTACATTTGAGGTCCAAGTTTTTTTCATATGTACATCCATGGTTTTGTAGAATATATCTGAAGTTAGGGACTCGGGTCCTGCGGTGAAGAAAAGTGCGAGTGAAACAGCACCCAAAAGGCCAAGGAACGAAACTCCATCACCTTTGCCAGCTTTTAAGGTACAATAAGTGCAACTAACCTTTTAACAAAGAGGGAAGCTTTAAACTTTTTATCTTTAATTCTCTCTATCTTTATTCTTTTTTATACACTTTTATATTTTTTTGATTTTTGAGTCCATAAACATGGATATGAACCTGTAGTGTTCTTCTTCTCTTCTTCTTAGGTGAGAAAAGAGAAGATGGGGGACAGAATCACTGCACTCCAACAATTGGTTTCACCTTTCGGAAAGGTGAGCTTCTGATAAAAATGACTAGTCTCTTTTGTTAATGACCATAGTGTATTATGATATACAAGAAAGAAAGAGAAAAAAGAAGATGATAACATGCGTGAGTGTGATTATGCTAATGCGGTTTATTGATTCTAAGTTTTAAAATCTGTTTGCTATGTTGTGTCAGACTGATACAGCTTCAGTGCTTTCTGAAGCCATTGAATATATCAAATTCCTCCATGAACAAGTAACCGTAAGTCCCATTTCCTATTAATATGTTCTTATTCATAAAGCTTAAAATATTAGCAAAATTTTCATCTTATTTATTTTCTCTTTTCTGTAGGTTTTAAGCACCCCATATATGAAAAGTGGTGCTCCAATACAGCATCAACAGGTAGTATACGTAAATACATATATTTATATGTTTCCTTTAAAAAAAAAAATGAAGAACAATGAAAATATAGTTCAAATTTAAGAGGTTATATATTTTTTTGGGGCCTTTTATTGCAGAGTTCTGGTAAATCTAAGGAAGCTGAGGATCCAAAGCAGGATCTTAGAAGCCGAGGGCTATGCTTGGTGCCAGTTTCTAGTACATTTCCAGTGACTCATGAACCCACAGTTGAATTTTGGACACCAACATTTGGAGGAACTTACAGATAATTAAAGGGTAGAAAAAGTGTCACGGAACCAATACTCAACAACTAGGACATGTCCTATCAAAGCCTGGCCAAGTTGGGAATGATAAGATGAAAGAAAAGAGAATCATGAGAGAGGACACAGAAGGCCACATAAATATGTAAAGTTAGTTAGTTGTGCTGGCATGGAAAAGATATTAAAATTGAGAGAGAGAGAGAGAGAGGGTGGAAAATATGTTGAAAGAGGAAGAAAAGGAAAACGACCCTTCAAAAGTAAGGCCATGGTTGGAGGGTTCTGGCCAATTTTAGGAACATTGGGAGCACATTAAGTTGTTGTAATATATAGTTGAAGAATAATGCTTACAAGGGTGGGATTAGGAATGACAAAGTTGCTGAATATGGGGAAGTTCTTAGTCTAAAGCTAAATGGAAAATTGTTGTTAGTAGAATATAAAGGAGCTTTATTAAATTTGAAGGAAAAGAAATCAAATTTGAAGGAATCATTGAAATATAGAATTGAAGAGTGAGTGAGTGTGGGGATATTTCATTTGATTAGATATCTCACTTTTGATTTGTTTATTTCTTTGGAATTTGTAAGTGGAAGTCAGAGGGTGGCCCACACTGTCCCTTTCAGTTTTTTGTTTTAAAAATTTAGTTCGAATTAAATGTTTATATTTATAATTGTAGATGCTTGTACACATGCTGTTGTGCTTTGTAACGAATGGTCACATAGAGGGGTATCCATTGGAAGCATATGTAAAGAAGAGAAAACCCATAAATATTTTAATCTTTAGCCCAAGTTCTGTACATGGTCCTCTTTTAAATGACGTGTGCATACGTAGTTATTCCCTTTTTATTTCTCCAAGAAATAAAGATTAAGATTTTCTGCCAAAGCAGTAACCAATTGGCTAAACAGAAAGAAAGAACAAAATAAAAATTGTGAGAAAATATTATTCTTTTTCTTAATTTTATTTAACCAAAAACAAGTGAATAAGAATAGTGTTCTCCAAGTCTTAAATAGACAAAAATAAAATAACAAAAATAAATAAATCACTATAATCATGCGTAATCAAAGGAGATAACGCACAATTAACGCATACTCAAACAAAATCTAAAATAAAAAAAGGAAATAACTAGCAATTATTAAAATTCCCTAAATAAAGAAATAAATTATGGAAAAGCCCAATCCAAACGAATCAGCTTGGGTGCATCATCCTCTCCTGCCAAAAAAAGATTCGTCCTCGAATCTAACGGGTCTTCATTGTTACTATCGCACACCAGGTCCTCCTCTTCATTTTGATAAGGGGACAAGTCTGCAACATTGAAAGTACCAGAAACATTGTACTTCCCAGGCAGTGCAATCTTGTAAGCGTTGTCGTTGATCTTCTCGAGCACTCTGAAGGGGCCATCAGCTCTAGGCTGAAGTTTGCCAAACCTGTTAGCCGAAAAATATTCCTTCCTAAGGTGGATCCACACCAAATCGCCTTCCTTGAAAACAACTTGCTTCTTATGCTTGTTAGCTTGTTGCTTGTATTTCACGTTCTGTCTTTGAATATGATCATGGACCTGCAAATGTAACTCCTTAATATGATTGGCGTGATCCTCAATCTTCACTGAAATAGTTATGTATTGGTAATGGTGCTAAGTCCACAGGGGTAGTTGGATTAAGCCCATAAACAACTTCAAAGGGGCTCTTGTCTGTAGTGCGACTCTGTGATCTATTGTAAGCAAATTCTGCTTGTGATAACACCAAGTCCCACTGCTTGGGATTCTCTCCAATCAAGCTCTGCAACAAATTGCCCAAACTTCTGTTCACAACTTCGGTTTGACCATCAGTTTGGGGGTGGTGACATGAACTGAATTGTAGCTTCGTCTCCATCAGCATCCAAAGAGTGCGCCAGAAATGGCTTACAAACTTCACATCACGATGGGAAGTGATGGTCTTAAGTACACCACGAAGTTTCACAACTTCCTGCAAAAACAAACAAGCTACCTGCAAAGCATCAAAAGTCTTGTTACATGTAATAAAATGAGCCATCTTTGAGAACCTATCCACTACTACCATGATAGAATCCTTATTGCGCTGGGTTCTTGGAAGGCCTAACACAAAGTCAACGCTGATATCTTCCCATGGTACAGTCGGAACATGTAGGGGTAGGTATAAGCCAGCATTGGTGCCCTTGGTTTTAGCAATGTGACAAACTCTGCACCTCTCCACAAGTCTAGCAATATCACGCTCTATTCGGGGCCAATAGAAGTGTTCGCAGATTAAGGCTGTTGTCTTGTCAACACTAGAGTGCCCTACTAACCCTCCTGAATGTCCCTCGAGGGTGATCGCTTCCCGTAGCGAACAATGAGGAATACAAAGTATGTTGTCCTTAAAAAGAAATCCATTAACTATCAAAAATTGTAGATAAGGCCCTACCTTGCATTTCTCCCAAATATCCGTAAAATCAGTATCATCAACATACAGCTCCTTGAAGGTATCGAAACCAACAACCTTCACCTGCATAGTGGATAATAATGAGTGTTTTCTGCTAAGTGCATCTGCAACTTTGTTCAGCGCTCCTGCCTTATGTTGAATAACAAAGTTGAAAGCTTGAAGGAACTCCACCCATGTAGCGTGCCTGGTATTCAGTTTGTGTTGACCTTTGATATATTTCAAGGCTTCATGATCAGAAAACAAGATAAACTCCTTAGAGATGAGATAGTGTCTCCAATGCTCCAAGCTCCGAACTATTGCATAAAATTCCTTGTCATAAGTAGAATATTTTCTTCTGGCTTCATTCAACTTCTCAATGAAGAATGCTACTGGTTTATTCTTTTGACTGACTACACCCCCTATGCCAACTGCAGAAGCATCATAATGCACTTCAAAAACATCAGAAAAATCATGTAGCACACAAACAGGGGCTTCAGTTACCTTCCGCTTTAGTAATTGGAATGCCGCTTCTGCCTCCTTAGTCAACTCAAACTTGATTCCTTTCAGACAATTTGTAACAGGTGTTATAATAGTGCTGAAATCCTGAATGAACCTCCTATAGAAAGAGGCTAGACCATGAAAGCTTCGGATGTCATGTATGCTCTTAGGCGTCTCCCATCCGGTAATAGCATCAACCTTTGCTGGATCCATCCTAATACCATCAATAGAAATAATACACCCCAAAAATGTCATAGAATTGGTCAAGAAATGACATTTCTTCAGATTGGCATACAACTTTTGTTCCCTTAAGGCCTCAAACACTTTCCTCAGATGTAGTAAGTTATGCTCAACAAAAGAGCTATATATCAAGATATCATCGAAATAAACTACAACAAAAGAACCAATGAAAGGTCAAAAACCTGATTCATCAACCGCATGAATATGCTTGGCGCATTAGATAAACCAAATGGCATAAGCATCCACTCGTATAACCCATCCCTTGTCTTGAAGGTCATCTTCCACTCATCGCCAGGTCGCATTCTGATTTGATGATAACCGCTTCGTAAGACTATCTTTGAGAAGACCATTGCCCCATGAAGTTGATCAATTAAGTCATCAAAGCGAGGTATGGGAAAACAATACTTGATAGTGATCCGATTGACAACCCTACTATCGACGCACATTCTCCAGGATCCGTCTTTCTTAGGGACCAACAAGGCAGGTATTGAATAGGGAGTCATGCTCTCCCTTACTACACCCTTCTTCAGTAGCTCCTGCACTTGTTTGTGTAACTCCTCATGCTCCTTAGGGCCTATCCTATATGCTACTTTGTTGAGAATAACAACTCCCAGCAAAAAATCAATGCAATGTTGGATTCTCTCATATGTGGCAGTCCCAGTGGCATTTCCTCAGGAACCACATCAGCAAAGTCTTCCAACAATGGCTTAACCTGCAAAGGAATGTCGGAAACACCACAATTCTCTTCCATAACCACACAAGCAAATACCTCAACGGAATTAGCAACTTCTTCTTGGAAATCTACTCTGGATAGCATTGTATTCTTTGCCTCATTCCTCAAATCAGATGGCCCCAAAGTAATTGTCAACCCGTCCTTCTTGAAAGTATAAGTGTTTTTGAAGCCATCATGTCGCGTCTTCCTATCAGATTACCATAGCCTCCCTATCGAAATGACATCGCACCACGCCTCATCAATATATTTCTTGCCAATAGAAAACTGCACGAGGCACTTCTCGTTCACCTTCACCTCACTTCCTTTCTTTAGCAAAGAAAGCTTGTAGGGTTGTGGGTGTTCCTCAGTTTTGAGCCCTAACTTCTCGACCATGGTATTAGAGACAACATTCTCGCAACTTCCGCCATCAATGATCATACTACACACTTTGCCACCGCTGGTGCACTTTGTGTGAAATATATTGTGTCGGAGCCATAACTCATCATCAGCTACGTCAACACAACACTTAGAACCCTCTAAACAACCAAGGATTCTCCAACATCACCATAGATAATCTCACCTTCTTCAGACCCTCCATCCACCTGATCTTCTTCATACTCATCATAGGTGGGGCCTACATCATCAGCTGTCGTATCGACAAGAGTAATATATTGTCGATTTGGACAATCAATAGCGAAGTATCCTAAACCTTGGTATTTGAAGCACCTCTTTGCCGTAGTTCTTGTCTTGCTAGCTCCACCATTGGTCGTTACCCCTTTGCTTACTAGTTTCGGGTTAGAAGGATCTTTCCCCACACTAGTGTTGGTTGTTGAGCTTGATAACTTTACTTTGTCAGAAAATCTAGGTTGGAATTTTGAAGTACTTCTTTTTCTCTCACACTACTCCTCTACCTTCAAAGCTAGTCGATATATGTCCTCATATGACCAATATTGTTGCAGGTATACAACATCTAAGATCTCAGTCCGCAGTCCTCCTAAGTAACGAGCAGCCAATTGCTCATCCTCTTCTGCGATATCACAATGCATCCACAGACGATCAAACTCAGTTGTATACTGTTCAACTAATAGGTCTCGCTGCTTGAGATTATGGTATTCAACAAATGCCTCCTGCCGGTAGTGAATTGGTAAGAATTTTTGTTGCAACAGTTTCTTCATCTTATCCCAACTCCTGATCTTTGACTTCCCTTTTTTGTTTCGCTGCTTCTTAATATGTTCCCACCAAATTGAGGCATGCTTCCTCAGTTTGATAGCAACTAGTTTGACCTTCTGGTCTTCTGTCAAATCTCTGATATCAAAGACTCTTTCGACGATGTGTAACCAGTCGATGAACTCATTTGGATGAGTGGTGCCCTCGAATTCTGGGATCTCAATCTTCACCCCAATATTGGAAAAAAAATGATTGATTTCCAGGTTGACTTCGTACTCGTCGCTCCTGGTTCCAGTCCCATAATGGGTTTTCACTCATTTCCTTCCCATGAGATGATCTTTCAGATTCCATTCCTTCATCTATCTCGTCCAACTGTGTTTGGGCAAACCGTTGTTCGAGCTCCTGAATTCGTCTACCTTGTTCTGCCTTCTGCCTTTGTAGCGGCCATTGCTACAATTGTAGCGTCTCGTGTGTCGATGTGTGGCTGCTCGCCGTCGCCATTAAGGGTGTTACCACGCCCTCTACAGTCGCCGTCGCCTCGATCCCGTCGTCCACGACCTCGACCTCGACCGTCATTGTTCTGTTCAGCTATTTATGTGACAACCAAAGCTCTGATTACCAAATAATGCTGAAGCAGTAACCATTTGCCTAAACAGAAAGAAAGAACGAAACAAAAATTGCGAGAAAATACTATTCTTTTTTCTTAATTTTATTTAACCAAAAACAACTGAATAACAATAGGGTTCACCAAGCCTTAAATAGGCAAAAATAAAATAACAAAAAAATTAAATAAATATAATCACGCATAATCAAATGAGATAACGCACAATAAACGTACACTCAAACATAATCTAAAAAAACAAAAAGGAAATAACTAGCAATTATTAAAAGTCCCTAAATAAAAAAATAAATTATGGAAAAGCCCAATCCAAGCGAATCAGCTTGGGTGCATCGCTCTCCAAGAAATTCAATTGCCACATAAATTGGAAAATTTGAACTTTGGATATATAATTTATCATCTTGTTAGAATAATCTTGAGGTTAATTAATTAATTTAGCTTAATCATTTTTTTTGGGTTAGATGAATAACTTAGTTTAGCTATCTACTATCATATGGTTGTTGAGTGAGAATTTTTACATGAACTTACATCGAAGGTTTAATGCAAGTTTTCAATATATGAAAAGGTTGTTGAGGATAAAGGCTTCATGCTATTTTTCTTTTCTTTGTATTATATTAGGAAAAAAACAATAGAAGAGAAAACAGAGACAAAATTGACAAGTGCATATGTGAAAGTCAACATAATATTAGCATTAAAAATTTACTTGATTGGCATATCTTAAAACCTTGTCACTTTACCTGTTATGAATTTGAATTAATTAGACAAAGAGTACTATAAATTATTTTGTTCTGGGCCAGGGGGAATTGCCTCTTGTGATTAAAAGTACTTTACCAAATCTCACTTTCTAACTTCTCTAGCAAGATCAGAATATAAACTAATTCAAAGGTAAAGCATTTAAGCATTAGCCATTATTGTGTTAACAAAGCTAGCCTGTCATGGGGCTCCATGCTACATTCTAGCCTAATTACTTTCCACAAAAATTGTCTTCACTAAGAAATATTGTCCTAAGTGATTTAACAATGTTTTTAGGGTTTATCTCATGAGAAGCTGAGAATGTTAGTCTTGGAACAACTCTATTGTTGTTACTTGTGATTGGAAGATCACAAGTTTGAATATAAAAAATAATCTCGTTACAAAAATAAAATAAAAGAATAAAGATAAATTTACGTACACCCTATCCTGATTCATATTCTCATAAGTTAATAAGTCTTTGTGTACCAAAATTTGTCTTTTTTTTTTTTTATCTCATGAAAAGCTGAGTTTATTCATTTGACATAAGTAAATAATGAGGGGAATCTGCTATTCTATTCCCTTTGAGATTGTTTATTAATTTGGAAAGCATTTGGCACAAAGGTATGTAGTTTGGAAGATGTTAGAAGTGAATAACATACATGGGACCAGCAATAACCGTTTTCTTTGTTACCATCTTTATATTTCCCCAATAGCAGCAGAGTGGGATAATATTTCTATTAAGATACATAATGAACCGTAGGTTGAGGACATTCATTTTGAAAAGAATTGGTAAATTAATTATAGTTTTTCTAACTGTTTGATGGGCATCTTTTTTTGCCTCGAGTACATGAATATGCCACTTCCTTTCTAAGAGTAATAAAAAACAGTTTATTTTTAAATTATTATAGGGCTGTTTTGTCCTTTAGCTGAAAAGAAATATCGTTTCATTGTTTTTAATAATTTCTGTCGCATAATGCTAAAAAATGATTGCTAATCAATGAATTTCATAGATATCAGAGTACATGGACAAAAAAGAGAAGGAATAGAATCTTCAAATTATTTGGGCCTATATCAATTTTCTATAGATTCCATAATTCATATCCCTTTGCTTAACTTTTTATGGCAACCAATACAACTCTTGAGTTGTTGAGACAAATATTTGCTTAGCTTTCACTTATAGCTCTAATCATGTTTAGCATTTATCTAAGCACTTAAGCACAAAAAAAGAGCAATGAGTTAAGGTTATCATTAACAATACTACAAGCCTACAAGCAACTTTTCTGTAGAATCCATTCCAAGTTTTCTGAGCTTGTCATGTGTATGTCAGGTCGTCTTCATCATGTTTGAAAAGGACCGTGTCATTGGAATCCAGAAAAAAAATAAAAAATAAAAAATAAAACTTGCTTCTTGAATTCATGAGAGCGGCTAGTTGAGAAAAGAGGGTAGGGACCTTTGTTAAGAAAAAATGGAATTGGATGCTGCAAAGCCAGAAGTAGAAAATCATCGACACAAACTAATGATAGGAAGGGAAAAAAATGGACAAGAATACGAAAAAGCTTTGTGAATCACATGACACTAGATTTTTTTCATATCAAAGAGAAAGAAAAAGCAATGTGTATCAGAATATTTCTCTTCTTTGTGACAGCTGCCTACTTATGTCGCATGGAGTGTCTAGTCTAATCAGTATATTATATATACATACATATATACATATGTATGGATAGTTTTTCTTATTAAGAAGAAAGAAAGCTTAGAAATCATGCCTATATTTTTAGGTTTAAACTTGTAAGACACAACATGTGAGAACCTATGCAGAGGGGGGCTGATGACTAAATTAACCAAAATGAATATGCTAGAAATGGAGGATGGGAGAAGGTGTCAATTTGTTCGTGATAATCTCTCACATCAAATCCACAATGCCCTTATAGGAGGCTCAGTAACACACAGGCTTACAGATTAAGCATTCCTATTACATTCGACCAGAGCTTTCACATAATTCCAAGCATCCACACCGCCCCTGATTTTTCCATTGCATTCGCTCCCCCTTTCTCCGAGTACTCTATGCCAAAATATTCAACCCGCCTTTAGCCAAACCCCATGCTAGTTCGAATCCAATCCGGCTCTAATACAATTGTCAAGTGGTTCAAGGGAAACCTGTGGTAGGAAACCACCACTAATGGACTAAACTAGATCAATCACATCAAGTGAATCTGATACCATGTCTCAAGTCAAAACCTCAAAGCATTAGGTTCATGGATCTTCCCACTTATATGGACTTTACTTAATCCATTATCAACTAATGTGGGAATTCATCACACTTGAATATCTCAATAGCATATATAACCAATATCAGAGTGGTGTTGATAGTGATCCAAATCCAATTATTGGCATAGCTGCAGCAACTTTAATTTTCATTTTTCTTTGTTTATTAACCTGATATCTTTCAAATGTGCTGAATCCTCAGTATGAACAAATTAATAGACTTGCTGAATTCACATATTTGCAGATAACTTTCTTCAAACTAAACAATCTGTATCACATGCGAGAAAAAATAAAAATCAACTACTTTCATGCAAGGAATCAAGTGACGGGTAGATCATTAGCTCTTCAGTTGAGTAGACTGATAAGGACACTCTGCCCTAACATGTCTCAATTTAAACTTGTTTGCTTATTGATACTAAAATTCATGAAAGGGGAACACAAAAGAAGAGATCAAGTATTTTCTAATACGAAAAGATAAGACAAAGAAACTTCACTCAGCAAATAACAACAAGCCCTGCACCTGTAGCACAAAAATAAAACTCAATGCAAAGTATATTTGCTTTTGTAAAAAGTAAAATAAAATTTGCAAGCAAGTATATAGAACTCAATATATTCTATCAGTAAAAAATGGGTGAGTATCATCCTTGAGCTGCTTTGCAATGGTGGCGATATAATTTCCTTGATGGAATGCTTGATCCAACTCAAGCTCAGTTGGTTGTCTAGAACCATCACCAGCATAAGTTCCTGCACCATATGGACTTCCACCTTTCAGTTCCTTCATCTCCAACATGCCAGGACCCAACGTATAACCAATTGGAACAAATATCATTCCATGATGAACCAGCTGAGTGATAGCAGTGAGCCTGTCATAGATTCCACAATTTTCATATCATTAATATAAAAATATTGCAGTCATCTTAGGAATTAAGAGACAAATCCCCGTACATAAGGCTCTTCGATTTACGAGAGCAGGGATGAGGGTCGATTATATGCGACCTTATCCTTACATATTTAAAAAGATATTATTCCCAAACTTGAATACGTTACCACTGCTTCAAGACTCACCCTCTTCAGTCATTTTAGAAATTGATCCAGAAAATTCATTCAGATAGAGGTTCTTACGCTGTGGTCTCTTGTCCACCACCTTGGGAACTTGTGCTGTAGAAGATTCCAGCAGGCTTGCCTGCAAGCATTTGTGTTTTCCATAGACCTCCTGTTGTATCTAGAAAAGCTTTAAACTGAGCAGCCATCATTCCAAACCTTGTTGGGAAGCCAAAGACAAAACCATCAGCTTCAGGGAGTTTATTAGGGGTAATGATTGGTACATCACTCTTAGGTGGTGCTCTCAGCTTACCAAGCTCCTCAATTGACAGTGTCTCAGGTACCTGATCATAGGTTCAGTACTGTCAGGATTGCAGCTCCTTTTTTTAAAAAGATAACATTAAATTCTTTACTACCCTTCACCAAAAAAGAAAAAAATGTTTACATCCCCTTCTAAAATTTAGCATTGGTGAATATGGGAAATAAAGTCTTGTTCACAGAGATTACAAAAATATAAGTAAAGTTAACCACATAAGTGCTGTCAGCATTCTCTTTATTGGAAAAGTAAAGGGAATGGAATCCTCCTGTTATGGAGCACCCAACATTGGTTGAAAGAACACTGGAGCCACATAAGTGGCTTTGAAAGTTCATAAGCTATTTGGAAAATATGTTCACAGCATCCGTTTGGTTTGCTAAAAAATAAGGGATAACACATCATAAAATTTATATTTTATTTGATTTTTAAAATAGAAATAAGTATTGGACTAATAAACCGCTCAAGAAATAGCACAAAACTCTGAATTTCTGTTATCCACTAAACTTGTTTACAAAATTTTACCAACAATATAAAAAGGGAAAAAATTTATTTTTCCAGCTTTATTACACATGAAACCATCCATAACACTATATATGTATTTATGCATATCAAAATCTGGATATTGCAAAATTTGTAATCCTGTGCGCATTGGTGATCAAACAACTAACAACACAATACATGTATAAAAAAAAAAAAAAACTAACACCACAATACAACAATCACTTGCTGTATTGATTTGTTTGTACTGTTCCTCAAAATGCATTAAAAGCACCAAGGAACTAAGCTAGGAGAAAGTTTGAATCCAACTTTGTGACTGTCAGATCAGCAGGAACAATGACATTGAGTTAGAAACCATTCATCAAGCTAAACTAGATAACAGTGCAACCGGTGTAATACCTGCAGGCTATTTGAATGATTTTATCTGCTCCCAAGAGGAATAAGGTTTAGCTCTAGAGTGGATGTCCTTTACTTTTGCAATTTTATTCTATGACAAAATTGAATGCATATTATTAGGAACTGTTATAAATGAAACATAAATGCATACCTGCCATAGTTTGGCCTCAACTCCTTCTACAGAATTAACCCCTTTCATTATTTCTCTTGCTAGTCTCTCCACATGACCATACAGTGAGTAGTACCTGCCAAAGAAATAGAAAATTTTCATTTTGTAAATAAAGCTGACAGAAACATGCTCAATAATTTGTTATAGAATGAAATGAAAAGGGAAATTGAGCAATATTGGAGAGAATACACAAGAAAGAGGAAATACACATCACAATAAAAAAAGGAAAATAACTGTAGATAGTTTTATAAGGAAAAAAGGGAAATTAAATATCCAATAAGAAAATAGATGATTGCCATATTTGCAAATCCCTGTAGAAGGATCTTATGTGTGAAAAGCATATGACTCAAGCCTAATTTCTACATGTTCTTGTATAAATTTCTTACATCTAATGCTAAGATTTCTAATTTTAACCAGGAATCAAATACTTGAATTGTCCTTAGTATTGTATTATTTTATCATTTGTAAAAGAAAGCCAGCTTTTGCTAGTTCGCTTATTAGCTTGGAATGATGAACCACTTGTCATAGGATAGTAGTCAAAACTATGAAAGTTGAAATACACTAACCTACAATCAATTTAGGTTACTTACCTCTCAACTGCTCTCATGTCCGTGGAAATGGAACTCATAAAAGTAATAATAAGGAAGGCCACCCAAATAATAACAAATATAGGCAACTAGACACAGAGAATAAGAACCTTAACAAGTACATAATGGCTGAACCAAAAGAAAGTGTCACAATTCCAATTGTCAGAACCTGATAGGTGTTGAAGCAAGATATTGAGAATCCTTATGCAACATTGAAAACATCAGCCTTGGTTTCAATTAATTTTGAATTTAACTAACTTGTAGCAGCATTTGGAATGGTTAACCAATAAGTAGCACAAAAAGACATTAACCACAACTATCACTTCTCCACTAAATGGGAAATAATGATTTCAAGCCAATACTTCTTTTAACATTCATACATCTTGCTTGTATCATTTCAGATGAACAGAACAAACCTACACAAAGACTCTGCATATAAAACATCTTAATTCTGTTATCAGGGGATCAAAGGTCCAATTCAAATCAAAACAATGAAACGAAAGAAAACAATTTGAAAGTGTGATTTCACTACAAGAAGGTTATCATGGACTAGCAAAGGAAATATAAAATGATTCAAAAAGCAAGGCATCAAGAGAACAAATTCACAAAAGGGATTTCTATTTCATGAACTGCATTTTTCTTACATAATGCCCAGCAAACCCAAAAAAGTAAAAGATAGAGCAACTCAAGCCAACTAGAAAAGAATAAGACTTTCGGCGTGCATGGCTACTAAGGAACAACCCACATCTTCCTTAACGATCAAACAAACCAATGTATACTTATAAAGCAGAAAGATAAACAGAGCCAGAAAAAGTATGCATCATATCCAAGAAAGTTTGAGTCCAAGATCTTCAAAGAACATAGAAATTCTAAAGACTTCAAATTTGAGAACCCATTGAAGAAGTAAAAGAAACCCAATGAAAAAAATTCCATATTGATTACCATGAGTTAAACTCAAAAGGAAAAAAAAGACATGAAGAAACAATAATGACAAAGACAATGAAAGCCAGAAGACAAAGTATAACAAGATTTTTATTTTTATTTAAAAAAGAAAGGGGGTAATTAGTAATGACAAGAAAGGCTAAAAAAGTGCATACACAATATAAACTTTGACAGCCATGGATGATCCTCCATGTTCTTTTTGCTTCTCCTCTTTCTTTGTCGTCATTATTCGTAGCTATATGAAATGAACAGTTAGTTGAAATTGGTGATTGTGAAATAGCGGGAAGCGCAAGCCATATTTATAGTTTGCATTAAGTGGCTTAATTTTTTTAATTAGTCGCTATTTTCTTGACTTTTTCTTTTCTGTTTGCTGGGACTGACAGCAAACAACAAAAAATGCTAAAGCATTGGATTGATTGGGTTAGGGGGAATTTATTTTCCAACTCAAGCGAAAGTACTCCTTATACGTGAGTTGCATTAGATTGAACCGATGTATTTAACATATATTAAAAAAAAACTTAAATGCTAAAATAAGAAATAAAAAATTCATTTTACCTAACAAGTTTTAAATAAAATCAACATGCCTCGACATTTGAGGTGTGCATGACAACTTTTTCGAAATTATTTTTTTTATTTAATTTCTGTTCCTGAGAACAAAACTAAATAAAAAAAATTCTTTTGGTAAAATCGGTTTATTTTTTTGTTCCCGTGATGAACCGATTTACTTTTTGTGCTGGGGAACAAAAAAAGAATCATTTTTTTTTTATTCCCGAGCACAAAATGAGAAACACTTGTTTCTCTCAATCACAATTTACCACTATCATCATCATCACCACCATCATCCCGACACGACCACCGCCATCATCGTCGTCGCCGTCGTTATACCACCAATGTCGTTGTCACCACCACCACCACCACGACAAGTAGTACCATTTAATCTAGACAAGCATACAAGACAAGTAATACTAACATCAATCAACTTTAAAGTTTCATTCTCATCTTTTAAATTTTTAAGTTGATTTTCAAGAGATGCAACTTGTTTAATCAATTCATCATTACACTTTTTAATTACTCTAAGTTTCTTAACATATGACAAAGATTCTTCATAGAGTTCATTACAAGCATGTTTCAACTCATCATAAGAAGGATTGTAAGAAGAGCAATTAGAACTTACCTCACTTTCATCATCCTCTTTCTTTGTCACTAAGCAAAGATTTGCTTCCTCCTCACTGATGAAGAACTTGAGCTTGAGGTGTAACATCCCCGTCTCGAGCCGGTTCAATTAACATACATATGATAAAACAGAAAACAGCGGAAGACTTAACTTATGAAAATACGAGCTAACTTTTTCTTTTTCTTTTTAAATTCTCTTTCGTCGTAAACGAAAATCGGGCAGAGTTTCCTCTATAAATCGGACAACTGGGGATTTTCCAATCCCACTCAGATGCATTTCCTGATAAGCAGTTTATACAACATATCAATTCAGAAATACCAGATATCCAAATATAATCAAATACCCATACATGGGCGCATGCATAACATGGCTCCGTGCCACTAAATCTAACAGCATGCCATCAAAACATAAACCTATCTGAATACTACATCATCATATAACGTTCCTGAATACTCAAATGTACATGCATCAAACTGATAGACATGTACAAAACATATACAGGCCATATACAAAATAAAGGATCAATATCATGATCCATCAAATGCGAAAATACTAAAATACATCAAACACTCCAAAAAGGTAGTAGCCTACAGCCACTCAAAATCCGGTCTGTCAACTGCCTCAGCCACGTGTCGTGTCCCTGCCTAGTGAGGACTCACCGGAAATCTGGGCCCCTGAAAATGTGTCCCCAAAGAGGGGTGAGATTACAAATCTCAATAAGCTCCAGGTTTATAGAGAATTCTCCATACCCCTGGCTCACTCCTGCATGAAATTCAGATACAGAGTATACAAATACAACATATAACAGATATCTTAACAGAACAGAGCATATATCCATATCATATCAGAGATGTGCGCCGTCATTCCCAAGGGAGGACCCCAAGCGGAAATCAACGCACGTGTTCCCGAGGGAGGACCCCAAAGCGGAACCAGACATATCGGAGGAGTACACCATCAGTCCCGAGGGAGGACCCCAAAGCGGACGTCCGGGTACTATACAATCAATGGCCAGAGATTGTTACAGAAATCATATTACAGAAGTCATATCAGAGCAAAACATATCATGTTATCAAATAACTCTATATGAATGCATCTATACAAAGCATCTAAATCACAGTCATACAGTCCAACCATAGTTCACTAACCATGGTGGAGCACCCAAGCAGGAAAAGACTCCTTAAACATAGAGCTTACCTCTTGAAGCTTTACCAATACGCTTACTTGTGGAACAAGTTACTTTTATCGCTTCAAGAGATTTCCGATCCTTCTCAATCCCTAGGCACACCTAGAGAATAATTTACAATGCATCAATAAAATGATGCAATACCATAATTATTTCATAAGCATACATTTTATCGCTTATTTTCCTTTCTTTGCATTTTTGCCAATCCTATGCCAATACACAAGTCTAGACCTCTTTATAACCGTTGGTGTTCTTTAATTTAATCAACCATTCCCTTAGGAATTTTCAACATAAATCATGCCATTTTTCTTCAAAACTCATCACCTTTATACAATTTATTACAACACATTTTATTTAAAATAAAATGTACAAAATATATCCCTAAATACCCTATAGGTCGAATCCTATAAGGGGAATTTCCAAAGATCCTTCTCTTTTACAATACATTTTCGTTACTTCATTACAACTTGCAAACACCTAGGAATGCTTCCACTAAATTCCTATTTTGAGTTTAGACACCAAGTCCTTTTTACTTGGGCATTCTTACTAACTCATCCATTTTCACTCATTTCCAACACACTATACCTTCACAATACATAATATAATTTTTTCCACAATAACTCCTACTCACTCCATGATGGCCGAAACCTAGGAGGAAGATGTAATAGGGCTTTTAAATTTTTATCACATGTGGATGCTTACTCAACACTATAACTTCCTAAACAACAATAATCCATCATAATTTCACATTCTAACATCAATTATTCCCCACTCACAACATGCTCATATATTTCATAACTTAAATCATCAAAATAATATCATGGAAATAGAGGTTTCTTACCTCTAAACACTTGTACAAAGCCTAGAGAGCAATCTCCAAGCCAAGCTCCATCAAAAACTCACTTTTTCTCCTCCAATGAATAGTAACTCGAAAATGAGAGGAGGAATAACTCTTCACACACTCAACTATAGCTCAAATGGATAGGTGGAATGGATTCATTGAGTGGTTTCCAATCAATTTCATGTGGTGGGTCATTGGATTTGGTGGAAGATTCAAAGAGAATCAACAAAATCAAAAAAAAACCCTATCCCCCCCTTTTTCCTGGTGCAGCTCGGGTTTGGAGTGAGGAGAGGAGAGAGAATTTTATTTGGAAATGAAGCTCAAGTGACTTAAAAAGGTGAGCACATGTGGCCTTTTACCCGGGTATTTTTCTTTCGCGTATTTTCACTTAAACTAACCCGGAACTAACTCAAAGCTACAAATATATTTTTATTGTTTTTAAAATCATTTACATAAATTTTTATCTGTTACAAAACAATATTCATAATTCACAGTACGGTTTCGGCACCGTTTTTGACGAAATGCACTGTGAATCACAAACTGTACTTTATTTACTTTTGAAACTTAACACTTATAACTTATCATTTTCTTGGGCCTATATTGACTTGCTTGGCATATATTGGACTTTCTTATTCTTATTTCATCAATTATTTATTTCTGGACTCTACCGGTTGCTTAAACAGCAGTACAAAATACCCGGTAGAAACACTATTCACGAGATTTTCACGGAAAGTGCCAGACTATACAATTTTTTATTCTGAACTCATATTTGTCATCAGAATTTTCAAATTATGTTCCTAAAATTATTTTTCTCATTTTAAGCTCTACCGGTTAATTCACAAAACTGTAAATTCTCCGGCAGAACGCACTGTTCATAACATAGTCATGATTACAGTCAAAATACTCGAAATCGCTCACTGAATCTAATTATGGCATTTAAATCCTTAAATTAAATCTCTAACTAAGATTTACCAGTTAGGATCATTATATTCACCCCACCTTTTAAGGATTTTGCCCACAAAATCAAATATCAAATATACATATACCTGACATCAAACTCAGGATATCGCTGGAGAATTTCATTCTCCCGCTCCCAAGTGGCGTCCCTAGGAGTCAATCCTTCCCATTGTACCTTGATCATGGGAATATTCCTGTTTCTCAACACTTTTTCATCACGTGCTAGAACCTTAAACGGTCCCACAACAAACTTCAAGTCTTTTCTTACTTCGATATTGTCCGGCTGTACAATGTGGGATTCATCCGGCACGTATTTTCGAAGTTGACTGATGTGAAAAACACTATGCAAATTTGACAGATGTGGAGGTAAGGCAAGCTGATAAGCCACAGGTCCGACCCTTTTCATAATCTGGTAGGGCCCAATGAACCTAGGACTCAACTTCCTCACTCCTAGAGCACGCCCAACACCCGTAGTCGGAGACAAACGGATAAATACATGATCCCCTTCTGAAAATTCAAGGGGTCTATGCTTTGCATCATAATAACTCTTTTGGCGACTCTGTGCTTTCTTCAATCGATCCTTAATCATCATAATTTGATCGGTAGTCTCTTGGACCATATCAGGCCCAAATAACTGCCTCTCTCCAATTTCTGACCAACAAGTAGGCGCCCTGCACCTACGGCCATACAAAGCTTCATACGGAGCCATGCCCAAACTGGCATGATAACTATTATTGTAGGAAAATTCCACTAGAGGAAGATATTTATCCCATGCATTTCCCTGCTCTAAGGCACAAGCCCTCAACATGTCCTCCAGGGTCTGAATAGTCCTCTCAGTCTGACCATCAGTCTGGGGATGATAAGCCGTGCTCAGCCTCAACTGTGTACCGAAGGCCTGTTGCACTGCATCCCAGAGTCTAGAAGTAAATTTAGGGTCCCGATCACTAATGATACTTTCAGGAACCCCATGAAGTTTCACAATCTCTCTTACATATATCCGAGCCAACTGCTCTGTGGAGAAAC